AAATATTTTGCTACATCATACACTATACAAAGATTATCCCTATACGAAGACAACACGCACATATAAACATACAAGGGCTTACACTAGTGTCATAATAATATACGTGCAACGCTAATGTAACAGACATAGAAACAAACAAACACACGACGCCAAACGTCGCTAAACACGAGCGGTGGTGGTGAGTGGCAAGTATATCTATATGCTTAGGGTACAGGCGAGCACCCTGTTGACTCTAACTCAGTGGCAAGCAACCCAGAGAACACGGTGCATTGAATTTTGCGTAGGCACTTTGAGGTCGGTGAGCAACCGCAGCCTCACTAGCGTGTTGCATGACAATATCATAGTTGACAGAATAGCCGGTATGGTTATTTAGATGCTGAGAGTACAGGCAAGCACCCTGTTGACTCTTACTCAGAGGTGAGCAGCCCTGAGGACACGCCGCATTGAACTTTGCGCAAACACTTGAGAGTCGGTAGGAACCCGCAGCCTCAAGCGTGTTGCATAGTCGCTATGAGTGGTGTTGATTTGGATAACATTATTACGTACCCAACGATACCATGGATAATACTATTACGTAGACGGCGGAACGTGTACGACATTATTACGCAGCAGGCGGAACATATGCGATGTGTTACGCAGGAGGCGATACAGTTGAGACACTATTACGTAGACGAAGGAACATGCGAAACCCTATTGGTGTGGCAGGCGGAACATGTAATGCGCTGTGACGGAGTCACGGAAAGCGTGCCCATCTCAAGTATGCTCATGAGGACATCACACCACGCGCATATCATACATAACACTTTGAGTCACTAAGAACAAAAGCAGACCATAGTAAATAGGTTTAATGGTATAATACGATATGGTCAGGAACAACAGGGGGTTGTCACTGATACCCAGGGTTGGTGAGCGTCACAGACAAAGGTGTCACACACGGTCAACCCTGTGATGATAGAAGAAAGAGGATAGTACAATGTTATTAGAGTCATTTTGTAGCATAACGGTAACCGCCCGCACTATAGGCGGACGAGAGACGAACAACAATTGATAACATTTATAAATGTTATGCTTTTAATCGCATGCGTTTTACGCTTTTAGTCATAGGTGTTTATGTATATAAACACAAAATAACGGAGCCTAGAAATAGGCCTAACTTTTCAATTTTTTCAGAAAACAATAAACGTTTTCACAAAACGTTAATGTTTTAATGAACATTATACGTTTTGAGATAAACGCTAACATTCGTAAACATGCAATAACTAAATATAACACATAACTAAAACAAGGATATCTCAGCAAATACACATGCTGCACCGCTCAAATTTTTACATATATTAGAGGAGGTCATGTGCGTTATAGATACATGGCTTCCGCTACACACAACACAACAGAGTCACTCGCATGTCTACACGAAATGTTGAGATCACATTCAATTGAATGTGATCTCATTTAATGTAAAAAAGACAAAAAAAAACATAATGTACGAATAAATATAATATGGGTGTTATTAGGATATAGATTTACGGCGCTAATACATTACACATAACGGTAGAACAATAGTTGATGAAGGACAAATAGATAGGCATCGATTATAGACAGTGATTGATCAACTGATCGCGATCATAGGTTAGTATATAATTACATAGTATAATAATCCATATTCAACGACAATTAGGATACAACAGATACGATAGTAGCGAAATCTAACGTTGCACAATACCATGGACATATATTATACCATGGATACCGATTCCAAGGCATAACAACACTATACTTAGAATATGACGTCATACAACAATAAAAAGTTCATGCAAGGAATTTAATTCAACAATTTGTGGAATTTCAATTACTACAACACGATATGTCATACACATTCACACGGTATAATAGTTTTAATACTTGAATGGGGGTAGAGACGTACGTAGACAGATATTAAAGCAAATACACATTTATATTACTATACCATTACGAATATTAATTTAAATCGATTTAAAGATTTCACAATTATATAGACACTCCCAAGTATGTATACACGCCAAATACAATGCAAGACAATAGGATAATACATATAATATATCGTTGGAACGTTAGAGATTGATGAATCGAAAGCGATTTCATTTCATTCACAACATACGAGCGAAATCGATCTATACACTTAACAACGTTACACACACTGATTTAGAAAGACAGATACATTGGTTGTAATATAACGGTGGTACACGACAGGTTATCCACTTCTCGAACTTGTAAATCACAGTATCGGGCATAAGGCCACAGGAACATATAGGTGGTTTACACAATTTGTTTCACAGTGATTTGTACTACGTAGACAATAAAATACAAAAGGCACCAAAGGTTGACTTAGCGTTTACACAAACGCTAAACGTACTACATATATACACAGAGCTGGAATACGAATACACAAGGCACTAAGTGCCATATTGTTTCTACTGGTGGCCACTGCCACAATGATCTTTTGGAGAAGCTCATTAATATATACATGGTGTGCATTAACCGCTATTACTATCAGACCACATGAGACTTAGAAAGTTGGAAGTTTGCCGTCATGTCGATTTCAGTATAAATACAGTTACAAATGTTTCATTCTACACTTTGATCACCGATCGCCAATTTCATCACTCAAATCGTCGTACATGCTCTTGAGGAGATTTTGAATGAAGATAGACCATCAGAGATCCCCTTTATTTTACTTATCCCTTAGCCGAATGATGCTAATCGCGTTTGGGAACGCAACAGGAAGGCTCGTGTTTCTCAAACGGTTCAGGCTAATGAATACCGCTACGACTCAGCAATGATTGCTATCGGACACCTTGTGTTATATTAACTAAATACTACTTCTTCCTCTGATCGAGTACTATGAGGTGGCCCAGCTACTGTTATTTCCCTCCATCCCCCTGTTAAGCATACAATTTAGGACCGAGCTACTGCTAAAAAATATTGTGTCTATCGTTCTTACCCCAACCGCCTCTGCTACTGGAAATCGCAGTAATCCGATTTATACTAATTAGTTGTTTTATTGCAGCCCTTTCAAGGATGCTCCCGAGTACGATAAAGCTCAGCTTGGTAATGCCTTTGCAGACTAGCCTGTCGCCACTTTGTTTCGATACAAATTCAATGGTGCTCTACGGCAGTATAAGTCCCTTGCTGACCATTACAAATATACCCGTGATGATTTGGCTTTGTTTTTTTGCGATGCCGATGACGCTTTTCTACGCCAGCACCTTACTGTAAACTTCGATGGATATTTCTATGTTTTAAACTATGTTATATAAACTAAGATACAATTTAAGTCAGTTAGGATTTAGCAGTGGTAGCTTGTGCAAGAATGATCGGGACTGCCTCTTGGTAAGAGCCTTAATATCCTCGATCACACAGGATGCACTTCTAACTGTTCTTTATTGAATAATTTTCACTAGAAGTACTAAGTGTTCATGACCACATGTCTAATTTGTAGATAGACATAAGAACGTAAGTCAAGTTAATACATTAGCTAATATAAATTAAGTTCCATCTGAAGAAATGTAAAAAAAAGAAAAGACTTATTGGGTTTTGGAGATTGGCGGGAAGACCAAAACCTGTAAGTAGTAGTTCAGAGATGATCAAATTTAGCTTATAATATCCTACATCTACTATCGTCTCAAATAGGTCCAAGTAAATGAGTCATACCAAATACTCAGGCTATTGGAGCCATCAAAATGAATTTAGAACACTATGAAAATGTTGGAGAAAAAAAAACTTGCATTAAATTATTTTAAATACAAATAAAAACCAATGTGTTATCTCATTTGATCTTGATATTTTAGACTGACCGGAGGCCGCATTTCTACATTACTCCTATGCGTTTTACGGCTTTCAAATCTGCTGTGAAAAATAACCCTGTTTACCGCGCTTCTCAACTCCTTGATTGACGTACTAAGATTGAAATAACTCTGCTTACCGCGCTTCTCAACTCCTTGATTGGCGTACTAAGATTGAAGCCACGCTTCCCCGCCAATGCTAACATTTTGAGACCACCCGCTTATGGTTCATGTGTTATGGCTCCTCGCTCTTCTTCCTACTTTACTTTTCTGACCCTCGCGTTCCTAATCCGATTGTGCTCCTTCCGATCGGATGGGGTGTTGTAAGACCCTCGCGTCATGATAAACTATACGATGGTTTTTCGCATCTTACTTTTGTGTGTGCGGAAAACCCCTTTTCCCTATAAACCTGAAGACGACCAAGGACTGAGCGGACCGTTAGACTATTTGGGCGCGCCACTTTCGTGTGCACCAACGAGATCACCCTTGGTCTCTTGCCGCCTATAAATAGCCAGGAAAGTCGATCGCAGTGTCACTTCTTCGCTGTAACACACTGCGACCGACCTAACAAGCTGAATAATAATAAACCTAGACTCCCAAATAAAATAAATATTTCTCTCGTTCGTGTCAGACCTACGGGGTCTTTACATTTGTTGCACATAATACAGTCATACATACACATATTGAAAACGTGATGCAAACGTTTGGTATTTATGTTTTTGGCGGGCCACTTTCTAAAACCTCATCCTCGACCGCAAGCCGTTTCCCGTTAAAACCTTTCAGATTGAATAAATTCTTTCAGAAGATTTGTCCGGCACTTTTAGAGTCATTTTATTTTACAAAAAAAAACCCATTCTGTTTCTTCTTTGTATACGTTTTTTTTTGAACAAAAAACAATCTGTTTTTTCTTTTCGCATACGATTCTGCACTCAAATGGGACCAGTTCAGTCATCAATTTCAAAATCCTAATTTCTGGTGAGCCCAGATTTCGTGATCCTGATTCTGGCAATCAAAAACTCTGCAGCATATGTAATAATTTATTTATGTATCGAATATGATGCGATCGCAGGTCCGCAGGAGCCAGGAGGTCATTGATGACTTGATGGACGATCCATGTGAGTGGTTCTATCTAAATACACAGAAAGAACGATTAATATTATATTTTCAAATATATGTATATATACTTACTGAAATCACTGTTTATATCATATACTACTTTTAAATAAATCTGTGCACTTTAGACTTTATATCGTTATACACAGTTTACGCACTGAAATTAAAGTAGCTTTAACTCAATCACACAACATGGCGCCAAAGAAAAAGGGGAAGAAACGTCAGGACGACGATGACTGGTGTGTATTATATGATGTATATGTAGGTGTGTAAATATCGTTTGTTCATAGTTTGTTCATATAAATAAATATGTGATTTTATATATATATATATATATATATATATATATATATATATATCTATCTATACTATCTATCTATCTATCTATCTATCTA